GAAAAAATGAGGACCAGATGCCAGGGGCTTAGGTGGAGAGCAAATGTTTTGAGAATGATGAGGGCAATGAATGTACAAATGTGCTTTACACAATTGATGTTGTATGGATTGTGATAAGAGTTTTATGAGCCCCTAATAAAATGACTTAAAAAAAACACAAGAAAAAAAATTTAAATACCTTTGAAAAAAACTTCCACTTGGGGCGGGTACCCCCTCAGACATTACTGATAAGCCCCACCAAGTGGTTGATTGGTTTGATTGCTTGTTTGTTTAAACAAAGGAGCAGTCTGTTTTCAAAGATTAAAAAAAAAAAAGTTTGAAAAAAGAGACATCAAAAGATAAAGGCTGTGTTTGGGTAAAATGATTGTGAGTCATTTATAGTCTCCTTTTCTCTCTTGATTATTTTAATCAGTTACACAGTTTTTAATTAGAAAAATAACAGAGCAAACAAGCTAAAACTCCAATATGTAACCTAATAGGAATGAAATAGATAACCTGTAAGTTAGCTTCCCAACACATAGCTTCAGAAGAGGTTTCATATGGGGCAAAATTCCACACCATCATTGCACGTTTTCAGGTGTTGCATTTATTCTGGGAGTAATTGCAGTGGTTGGAAAGACAGGGAACAATAGCATGAAAAAGCATACCCCCTGCTCCTATTATGAGGGCTTCAAGAACGGATATCTGCCCTTTCAAAGTAGGGCTGCCCTGTGGAGACCGCTTCCTTCAGACCATTGTGATGGTGATGGCTGGGATGAAGGTCTAGCCCCCTCATCAGCTCCCAGAAGACTGGGACTCAATGGTGGAGGCCAGGCAGCTGTCTTACCATGGAGTTGCTAGCCACCAGAGACCTGGCAGCATGTGCAAAGTTGACCTGGAGGTGAAATGTCTCCTTTCTCCTACCCAGTCCCCAGAGGCAAGTCCTTCATTAGGGTACAGTTTCTAATCCAAACAACCATTAATCTTCTTTCAGGGTTAAAAGGCCAGAAAAGCAACTTTCGCTCTATTTTGATACTGTAACCTGTCTGTATTTTACAATAGCAGATTTACTTCATTGCCCGCTTGAAAGTGCCCCACAGCTATATCCAATTATATAAACAATGCCCAGCCCTATACAGCCCTTCCTTGGGTATGGAAAAGGAAAGGAGGGGTGGGGGGTGGGGAAACACACACACAGAGTCTGTTTATTATTATGTCACTTGACAATAAATCATAGAAACATGACCTACTTGGAACAGATTAGTATTTTGTTTTATAAAATAAATCAGGAATGTGCATGTATCCTAAGTGAAAATGACCCCATGTATGATAGCTTCCTGGGGCAGGGGTAGTTCCATGGCAGAATTCCCACTTTCCATGTTTGATTCCTGGCCCGTGCTCCTCATGTGCAGTCACCACCTACCTGTCTGTCTGTGGAGGCTTGGATGTTGGTAAACAATCCCAATGGTCTGATCTGTAACCTATCGTGGGGGCGGAGTTTCATTCTGTTTTGTTTGGGGTTACAAGAGTCAGGAGCCAATGCAATGATAGTTAACAACATGATCGTTTAATGAACGCATTACACAAAATGGAATACTATTCATTTTCAATTCACACTCTTGTAAAGATTTAGAGTCTTAGAAACCCCAAGGGGCAGTTCTCCGTTATCCAAGAGAGTCATTATGAGTTGGCGTCAACTTAACGGCAGTGAGCTTTTCAGTTTAAACAAGTAAATTAATCAAGTAAATTAACCCATGTAAATAAGCTGAACTCCCAAGAGGTTTTTGGCCTTCTAAAATAATTCAGTAGAAAAATAGGATCTGGCTTTTAAAAATTGACTTGCTAGTTCTAAAACATCAAAATGTGAGAATGCCCCTGTTTGCCTTACAGAAGGGGCCCTAAGTCCCTATCTCAGGCTCTTTTAATAGCTGGTAAGTTAACAAGCTACATTTTATTTTCCACATTAAATTATGAGGACCACAATTTGAGTATTATGATGAAAAACTATTAAGACTATCTAAATCTGGATCTCCATGCTTGACCTTTAAATTTTTCCTCTACAGATGCATCATCAATATGAATACCAATCACTTTTCCTGGTGAGTCACACTGAGACATCTCTGTATTAAGGAGTCAAGTATTGATGAGAGAATGAATTTTTACATCTCGCATTATTTCACATTTGTAAAACTCAAAACCACAAAGACCATACAGACAATCTAGTGATAGCATGACCAAGCGGATGAAGTTATCCTGGTTGAAGAAGGCACAGATAGGTCAAGGAGTTAGAGCATCACCCAGGGCTCCGGATCCTTAGTCTAATGCCCTTCTCATGATGACACATCACCTTACAGAAATCACACGCGCGCGCACACACACGCACACACACACACACACACACACACACTTTAAGGGTTTATGAAAATGCATATTATGAAAATGCTATGCATGGATTTAAATTATTTTTGTATCAAAATAAAGTATCATACCAACTGTTATAACAAGTCCATGGGGTAGAGTTTGAGACACGAAGAGAGATAAGTCGTCACTCTGAAAAGAACCCCTATCAAAGCAACATAAATTCTGCTAAATTTAAAGCAAGAACAAATATAAAATTTAGTGAAGTTTGAATGGTCAAGTGATAAAGTCATTAATATTTTGTCCATAGGGACAATGGCCTCAAAGACGTCAGCAGTTTACCATAATATTTCATTTTTAGAGTTGAGGAGGAAGGCTATAGAGGCAAACCATCCACATAAGTTTGCAAGGAAACAATCTTGTTCATGCCCTAATTGAAGAGAACTAATTAATAGCTGAAAAATTAGCGAGCATCAGAGACATCTCAATTGGTCCAGCTTAACACAATTCTGACTGAAAAATTAAAGTTGAGCGAACTTTCTGCTCCTTGGGTGCCAAAATGGTTGCAGGTAAGAGGAGAGTTTTCAGTGCAAATTTTAAACAAGGAGGATCAAGGCCCCAAAGCATTTTCTAGAAGAACTGTAACAGGAGATGAAACATGGCTTTACCAGTATGATCCTGAAGACAAAGCAGTCAAGAGCTGGCAATGGTCTAGTGCAGCAAAGTGTACCCGTCAAGAATAAAAGTCACGGCAATAGTTTTTTGTTTTTTTTAAAATGTTGAAGACATTTGGGTTGTTGATTTTTTGGAAGGCCAAAGAACTATGACATCTGCTTATTTGGAGAGTGTTTTGAGAGACAGCCAGTTTTAGCAGAAAAGGGCCTGGGCAAGCTTCACCAGAGTACTTCTCCATGACAGTACTCCTGCTTGTTCCTCTCATCAAGTGGCAGTTTTGTGAGGATTTCAATGGGAGAATATTAGGCACCTGCATTGCCATGCATGGTTTGATGTAGCTCTTCTAACAACAGTCTCTGTAAGTCCCATCAAACCACCTTTTCTTATGGGTTTACAGAAGAGGTAGCAGAGAAATCTGATAGGATTCCTTTGTGACTGATTGTTAACAGGATTCAATGATCGCCAGCCTGCTGGGTATAACCTACACCAGGGGTCCTCAAACTTTTTAAAAAGGGGTGCACTTAAGTCAAAACCTATCCAATTACATATTTCAAATATGTTACAGTTGATGGTCGATTACACCTCAATAAAGTCATAAAAACAAAACTGCCTGCTTTTGAATTTATTCTCCCCACCAGAAATGTTTTTCCAAAGGAATTACACGTCAAGTATATAGCTCAAAAGAGTAATCTATTTGGATTAATATCTACCTTTAAAATATCTTATTACTACTCTTTTTATAAAATAAGGCAAATCTGACTTGAAGTGGTAAAATGCTATTTATTTTTCCCTTCTCTTTTTAAAATTTGAAAACTAATACAGAGGAACAATACAATGCCAAGCCCAAGCTCACGGCCATTGGGTTCATCGTGACCCTGTAGGAGAGGGTACGTAGAATTAACCCTGTGGGTTTGTAAGACTGGAACTCTTTATGGGAATAGACAGCCCTGTCTTTCTCCTGTGTAACAGCTGGTAGATTCAAACTTCAGGATAACAGGGGCCGAGTCTACCCTCCAACCCGAAACAACCAGAAAGCTGAGCTGCAGGATGACTGTGTTAGTCTGGGTAGACTAAGGAAACAAATCCAGGGAGACTCATATGTGTATAGGAAAGAGCTTTATATAAAGAGTAATTGCTCATAAAGAAAATGTCACAGCCCAGCCCAGGTCAAGTCCAGAAGTCCAAATATTAGCCCAGATGTCCTATAATAGGCCATAAATTCCTCTTTAGATTCATGCAGTCATGCAATAATGTCGAGTGCAGGAAGACCACAGGCCAGTGGGTGGAAAGTCTTGTGGATCCAGTGGCGGTAGAAGCATCTTGGCAGTAGAAGCATCTCAGCATTGGCAGGGGTCTCCATGTGGCTCCTACAGCTCCCAGGGCACTGGCTGCATCAGCATAGCTCCATGTGACTTGTCTGCAGGAATGTCTTACAGGGAGTGTCTGTGTGTCCTGCTCCCAGTGAGCTATTTATTGCCTTAGAGCCTCTAAATAAGGTCATCAAGCTGTGACCTTATTGACAGGTTAAACTCTAGCCCCTCACTCTTAAGTCTCAAAATGGCAACAGATTACCATATATACTAGTGTATAAGCCAAGTTTTTCAGCACATTTTTAATGCAGTTTTTATGGTAAACTTAGGTGCCTTGGCTGATATTCGGGTCGGCTTATACTCGAGTATATACAGGAACTATCACAGTGACTTACAGTTTGGAGCCCAATGTCTCACCCCTACACCTCCAGGGCTCCCAAACAACACATGCTTACAAAATAACACGTGACAGAGATTAACTTTTAATTTTTGATCCTTTTGGAACTTCATTCATATGTATATACAGGCACATGCTTATATACTTACATGGATTTGAGAAAGATTAGGCTGCTTCAAACTTTTTTATTGTTAGAAATTGTTTTCACAAATATCCTTGCCATATTTCTTTACACATTGGGGTGATATTACTATAAGATAAATTTCTAATCAGGAGATTGCTGGACATGGGATACGCACATTTGTGTTTTTAATCGACACTGGGGCTGGACATTGTCCAACCTGTTTTATGGCAGTAGCTTGACTCGGAGAAACAGGAAATCTTCTGCATTTTACACATGACATTGAGATCCAAGGACTTCACTTGCAGTTGGATTGGAAGCAGGTGTGTTATGTGGAGAGATGAAAAGACAAAGTTCTAGCGCGATGAACTGTTTTCAGAACTGAAGCGGCCAGTGGTAATTCTCTCAGTAAAAAATGAAAATTAATACAGTTTCATTGAAGCTTCAAACAGAGCATAGAGCTCCTCCTCGGACTGAGGACGAGGCGCAAGCTTCGTGACCCTTTCCTGAAACAGCAAAGAAAGGAGCTACTCAGGTTTTTGCAAAGACAGGTTGTAAAAGCTACTAAGTTATGTACGTTAACTTGGCTACAAGACAGAGTGATTTGATGATAGTCCCGTATGTAAAACTCATATTTCTTTTAAACTTGTATTGTAGTAAAACGAAACATGCCATCTCAACAATTTTCACATGTACTGTTCAGTAACAGTGATAAGGATCTTGTCTGGTCATCCCCACTATCTTTCTCTAAGTCATTCCACCATTGTTGACATAAGCTCCGTACCCACTAAGTAAAAGCCCTCCCTTTCCCCTCAAACGTGCCCTGCATAGCCACTAATCATCTCTGGTTTCTATAACTTTGCTTTATCTCATAGAAGTGAGATCATATAACACCTGTTCTTTCCTGGCTGATTTATCTTACCCTGCATGCTTTCAAGGTTCACCCATGTAGTGGCATGTGGCATGATTCATTTTTCTTTATGGCCGAAGACTATCCCATGATGAGAGAGTTTCACTGCATGATAAACCTGGATGCTCTTTGCACTAGCTCACCCCACTCAGAAGCTCAGCAGGTAAGGCATCTTTCTTCCAAAGCCATGGTCTTCTGTCCCAATGCAGATAAAACAACCAACCGTAGGAAAAACATCTGCTCTCGTGCCCAAACCGCGTCCACCAACCACCTCTACAGGCTCTGTTTCTTTGTCCTTTTGCTATTTATACATCCACTGGCAGCTTCGGTATCCATTTTGGACAGTGAATTAAAATATCATAACTATCCTGTGCCCAAATTTCCTGGGTCTAAAACTAATTAAAGTAGGCAATGAGCCACATGGTACTATGAACAACATTACTATGCTCATGTTACCATGAACTCTGCTTTGCTATCAATTTTCAAACTTCTTTAGGATCTCTAAAAGATCTACTGAGATTTCACCATTTACCTTGGCCTCACAGGTTCATAGCAACAGATGTGCACGTGTGGGGCAAGTCAAAAGCTTAAGTTCAGTATTTGCTATGAACAAAGATTATGGCCACATTATTCTGTTTGTAAGAGAAGAGGGTCTTATCTGAAGGCCCCAGATGCCCTTTAAACAATTCCACTGGTCTTTGGTGTTGTGGTTTAAGGCTCTTAGAAGCCAAACCGGAGCCGAGTTTCTCTTTCCAACCCCAGCAATTGGCTAAAGGGGGCCAGGACAAACACGAAGTTTGTGAATTGTCAATATACATTATCAGCTGTATCACAGGCAAGCTAACCTTACTCAGATTTAAGATGTGATAAGCAATGTGCCATTATTTGTAGACATGTAAAACACATGTGCTCTTATTTATAGACAGGTGAGACACAGAGGGTGGCTGATTAACTTGGGCACTGAAATAAATCCAGACTACTACTTTTAGCACCATCATAAAATAACATTTCAGCTGGCCTGTCTGCCGGGGAGTGGAAGTGCTCATTCTGGTAGACAGCGCGCCTCAGTAATGAAATGTTTTGATTTGAAATGTAAATATTTCTTTCCAGCGGTTTCAGAAATCGAGCTTGGAAGATTAATTTTCTCTTGCCTGCTCCCGTGCAGCCTAGCTGAGGCAGTTGGCACCTCTGGACATAGTGCTGCTATTTGATGCCACGGGTCTGGGCTGTGCTGTTGGGCCAAGAAGACTGGCCTGGTTGTTCCTTCCAGAGAAAACGGATCCCTCCTTGCTGAATATAAAAGACCCTTTATCAAATGGCTGCTACGTGCAATGAGCTTTCTGGCAACGTTCTTTGCAGGAACCAGGCCACCCCCCTCACTACCATCTATCTTAGAGGGAAGATCCCTCCACCACATGTGTAAAAATCTGAAGTTGCCGGAGCATTCCTCTAAAATGCGGATGGCTGCCAAACAAACAAACAAACAAACAAACAAACAAACAAACAAACCCAACCAAGAAGATGCCATCGTAGTTCTTTATCTGAAAAATGGAGAAGCTGTCGCTATTGCTAGAATTGTGTTACTCCCCCAAATCTGTGCCTCCACCTAAGCCTCTTCGCCTGTGGTTGTAATCCCAGGAAACGAGTTGTCTCTGTTAAATGAGACAGGATTAGGGTAGGATGCAAATCTAAAGCAGATTAAATGAGCAAGCCAGGAAGCCGAGATGGCGGGAGGGATGCCAAGGCACACAGGGATCTCTAAGAAAGCAGGAAGCAGAAGCTGGCGCAGTGGTCCTCAGCCTTCCTCACGCCGCGGCCCTGTCATGCCGTGGTGCCCCCCCAACCATAAAATTATCTTCATCGCTACTTCGTCACTGTAATTTTGCTGCTGTTATGAATCGGGCCACCCCTGTGAAAGGGTTGTTCGACCCCCAAAGGGGTCACAACCCACAGGTTGAGAACCGCTGAGCTGGAGGGACACAGTTCTATGGGGCACCTTCCTCCACAGCTGACAGAGAGAAAGCCTTCCCTTACAAATTATGGTCTGAATTCGGACTTCTTACTTTCCTAAACTGGGAGAAAAATATTTTTTTTTTTTTTTTTTAAAGCCACGTACTTGGGGTACTTCTACAGCAACAGATAAAGAAGCTGTGTATACAATTCCCAAGTCTATGAAAACACACACACACACACAGCTATTTGTCTATAGCGGGTTCTTTCTGGCCCTCATTCTTGCCTGCTGTCACTGGGTGGCGGGTGAACATGGCTGGGTGCTTGACTATTAGCTGAAAGGCTGGCAGAGGGACCTCAGGAGCAAGGACTGGTCACCGTGGTTGCAAACCCTAGGGAGCACAGTTCTTTCCTGAAATGCAGGGGGGCTTCATGAGTTGGAATCCATTTGATGACGGCTATCATCCCCACTCTCAAATGGAACGGGATGATCCTAGGCAAGTACAACTCACTTCCCTTTCCCTAATCATGCAAACAGGACCCCAAGAAAAGCAGCATCATGCGTGGGGGGAAAAAAGGGAAGTTGATCACTAGGAGCAATGTAGAACCCCCTCTCAGGGGGACAAATAACGGAAAAGTGAGGGGGTGATGGAGGACAATATAAGATATGAAAATAATAATCTATGACCTATTAAGGGTTTGTGCAGGAGGGTGGGCGGGGGAGGGAGAAGGAAGAACTGGGGAGCTGATATCAGGGGCTCACGTGGGAAGAGAATGCTTTGCCGATGATGGCGGCATGTGTGCAAATGTGCTTGACACACTGGAGGCATGTATGGATTGTGATAAGAGATGTAAGAGCCCTCAATAAAAGTATTTAAGAAAAACAGAAAGACAGAAAAGCAGCCTCTTGCAATCTGCTTTGTGAATAAAGCTTGCGGTAAACCTGGCTTCCTGCCTTATGAATATGCCTTGTGCTTATGAAATTCAATTTACCTCCCATCAAAGGAAGACATTAGATTTGTCTAATTAAGTTTCTGCTCTCTGTAATCTGCCAGCATGACATGTGCACGCAGGCATTCAGAATGATACCTCATTAGCTGGCTATTTTCGGGGATGGCCTCACATGTTAGTCGGGCTCTACTGCCATCTGGAGCAGCTTCTGCAGGTGGAAGCCGAAGCAGAGTGGAGCGAGAAAACAGTGAACACCTGCCAAGTTGTGCTGCTGGCAGGGAGATGCATGGCCACCAGCAATGAGATGCCCAAGAATATCAGAAAGTTTCCTTTGAAAATATAGATGCCCTTCTTGGAGGCTGGCAAACACATATCCCTGAGCACCCTCTTGGGCTGAACCAAAGGGTGAACTTTTTGGAGATTTCCTTGCCGAATGGGCAGTACCACTGTGACCATGTTACAAAGAAAAAACTCACTGCCGTGAGTCGATGCTGACTCATAGTGACCCTACAGGACAGGGTAGAGCTGCCCCTGTGAGTTCTCAAGACTGTAACTCTTTATTGGAGTAGAAAACCCCATCTCTCTCCCTTGGAACAACTAGTGGTTTCGAACTGCTGACCTTGCAGTTAGCAGCCCAATGCCTAACCACTACGTAACCAGGGCTCCTTTGCTATAAAAGAGGTTACATGAAAGCCCAGTCAAACACAGCATTTCTGCTGCCCTTGTCGTTGGTTGAGCCCCATTAAGCCTCAGCGAATTCCTCCAAGAAATGACCACCATTCAGCCAGTAAGCTCACCTAGACAGGCTCAGGAGGAGAAGCGATGGGCGTGTGTTCATTTAACACTTGCTTACTGAGGGCCAGGGGCCTCTGCTTTGGACATGTTGTCAGGGGACACCAGTGCCTGAAGAAGGACATCGGGTTTGGTAAAGTAAAGGCCAGTCCCCAAAGAGGAAGACACTTGATGAAATGGATGGCCACAGTGGCTGCAACAACGGCTCAAACCGAAGAACAATCGTGAGGACGGTGCAGGACCGGGCGGTGTCGGTCTGCTCGTCCCAGTATCTCCATGAGTCGGAACCGGCCCGATGGTCCCTAGCAACCACAGAGAGGCCCCTTGCTAGGTGCGAGGCAGGGGCCCGATCAGCAAGGCAGGCAGGGCCCTGCAGCCGTGAAAACCCCCATTTCGCAGGTTTGGATAAAGTAACTGTGAAGGGCCACCACGAGTCATCGGTTTTACACATTTAGCCCCTTGGACTCATGGGTTAGAACTGCAGGGTTGTTGGACGGTCCAGAGGCTGCGTAAAACCTAAACGATCCAGAGTGCCTGCCATGCAGCTGATTCTGACTTACAGCAGTCCCACAGCCCCTACCACGGCCTTGCCCGGCTCCTGTGGACATGTGATTTGTAAACCCGATCTAGACAAATACGAGGGGGCCCCAAAAAACGTTTGTGGAAAATTCCATGATCTTTTAATTCCATTTTCTCACAGACCTTTGGAAGGTCTCCTCATATTGTCTTAGTGAGTGGTGAGGTCTTTGAACATGTTCGGTGCTTACTAAGTGGAGCAGCAGCAGCAGCAGCTTTTTGGAGGTCTTTGCTGAGTTGCAGTGGAGTAAGGAACACACGGTGCGGGTGGGATGTGTGGTAAACACGATTCTGTCTCAGTGGATTTTCCATCTGTGAGCTGTGTTTCACTATCAGGAAGTGGCCATGAATGCGGTGACAGGGGTAGAAATGCCTTCTCCTCACCGCATTTATTGGTCCTTGCCTTTCCCAGGCGTGATGGGAGACTTCAGTGAGTGCTCTGGGCAGCTGAGCATCAGGCAAGCTCTCCTGCACTAACTCCGACGCTGTAGCACAAGGGAAACTGGTCCTAAATGGCCGAGACCATCCTGCCAGGGATCAACAGGAAACTTTAAATCCATTCCGTTTCTATACCGAATGGAGTGTCAGCTCAATGTGAAATCCTGAGTAACATTTAACTAACTCAGACCCCCGGTGGCACAGCTAGCTGTAAAGGACACAAACTTTCAATTATGTTAAAAACCGGCTTTGTGGCTTCACTAACTAGTAGGGATTTGAAACTCTCTACAGTGGAAAATCACATTAATGGCTCTTTTGAAACGGCTTCCCACGTTGTATCAGGGCTCTTAGAAGAACGGTACTGAAGACGGGACACTTTGCCACGCTCCTGATAGATTGGTTGTTTTGCCCTGGAAGTGTTCTAAAGAATCCTTTCTATTATGTCATAACTGCTTCATGGAAGCCATCGTTCTGCGGGGAAAGAATAATGGTGAAGGAGCTCTGGAAGCTTCCCCCTGGGGCGACACCACTAAGCAGGCATTTCTGGAGGGGATGCAAAGACTGGCGCTGTGCTTTCTCTGCAGGGTGTGAGTGAGAAGTGGCTGTCTCTCTTACCTGCGGCACAGTGCCTCTCACCAAGGCGGGGATGTCGGCTGCGGAGTAGCCCAGGGCTGCCAGGCCGTCATCAACATTCAGATCCTGTAGGAGTTTCCGGAGTGTGTCTGCCAAGACAAGCCCTGCATCTCGGGCCCTGGCAGTGCGGATATCTGCTCCTAGAAGAAGGCATAAAGTCCTGACTGGGGGATGGGGTGGGGAGGAAGCCGGGCTCTGGGAGGAACATGCTCCCGGTATCGGTCCAAACAGAATGTGCATCTACTGCCATGTCCCTCACACTGAGGACCAGGGGCACTGCACGCCCAGGACTGCGGTGCCACAATCTGCAGAGGGCAGATGATCGGGCCAAGGTCATTCAGAGGTGCACCAGGAACCTCTGCTGGGGAGTTAACTTTGCCTTCACATTCCCAAGGGCTGCCATCACGCAAACCCTATGTGGTGGAGAGAGCCAAGAGGCATGGAAAGGAGACCTCCCTGGAAGTTTGTCGAAAGGAGAAAAGGGCACTTGATATACTTTCCAAGGCTTGGAATTTGCTGACATCTAGAGGTGTCGATGCTCCATGTCTCTTCCCACAGATATGCTTGATGAGGAAAAGACGACCAATCCACAGTGAGACAAGAGGACAGAAATGCAAACACTCCCAAATTAGGAAAATAAGCGCGACAGAAATGAACTGTGTGCGCGCGCGCGCGGGGAAGGAACTATTTCTTCCCCGTAGCTGTGACATCTCAGGTTCTGTTGCTACAGGGCAGGGCTGGGGGGTCTTCTACATCAATATTACTGAACTAGTAGGCTAGAAAGACCCTGGCTCATGAAGACTTCGGGGAAAACAGTAGTGCACGCGTAGACTGATGATATTGATGACAGGGGAGGCAGATTGCTAAGCGTTTGAGATCTGGAAGGATAGAATTCTGACACAGTGATTAACTCGTGAAATACGCTCTACTCTGGTGAAACAGATTTCCCTGTCAACGAGGTAAGCATTTTATGACTGGCATGTGGCCATATATAGCGTCTCGCCAACAGCTTTAAGCTATAGTGCAAGTCCCCTTTCTCCTGTTTTGCTCAAAAAGAGACCAGAATATTCAGTTCACTCCACATGCTCGAACCACAGTATGAAATCGATCCTAACCTTTCTCTTCAACAACAGGGAGGGCTGTTTTCAGTAATCCAGGAAAGAGGTATAAATAGAACCAGACCCAGAGCTAGTTGGCAGAGCAGCTAGCTGCATGGAAGGCCAACCTTGTTTGACAAGACTGGTCTGTACGAAACAGCAGCAGCTAAAGTTCGGGTTAGGTGGGGAGGTGACACACGAGATGAGGCTTATGAGGTTTTCTGTTCCCCGGACTACTGCCATAAAACACACCATCAGAACTGCTGGGTTCCCCCTGCAGGCATTTTGGAAATAAAAAAGGAGGAGAGGGAGAGAACACAGTGATCGAAAGCTAGGAAAATCCACGATGACACCGAGAATCCACATAGCTTAGTGACTGACTGTCGTGTATTACAACACAAACCCTACTCTGCAAGAAGAACCAACGAGTGGGCTTTGTCTAACAGAATTCCTGCTTTGTCAGAAATGTTGCAGTTGCCTGGAAAGTGAACTACATGCTCCAAGATTCTCCCCTCAACTGTAAATCTAACATCCAGAGCAGTTCAGGCTCCGCCCATTTACGGTCTGGATATTTACAAAGGCATCTGCATCCCAACATATGGCTGAACAACATCCAGGTTAGTGGACGAAGACACACAAGGTCCTGGGGACAAGTGACCTGCTTGTCCCAGTTCCTGCTGGGCATTCAATCCCTGTGTGGCCTATCTGGCCTGGGCTTTTCTCATTGCCATTCCCAGGCCCGGGTGGAGGGGGAAGCGGAGGCCAAGCTGGACCCGCAACACCGAAGGATGCCTGTGGTCATTGCTTCCTACCTTCTGGGACACAAGCTCTGGAACGGTGGGTGCTGGGAGAACACAATGACGTTTTCTCCTAGTCTCTTTCCCTTCCTACCCTGCACACGAGTCAGGCAATAAGGCATTTTGAAAGTTAATCACGTAGTCTAGGCTAGAAGCTGTCTGGCTAGTCAATGGCACAAAGAGCTTACCATTTTTAAAGGATGAGAAAAACACCCAAAGCTTATTTAGTGCTAAGCCAGACTAAACTCTCTGGCACTGAGTCAATCTGACTCACAGCCACCCTGAGGGACAGGCGAGAACTAACGTCCCTGTGAGTTTCCAAGGCTGTAACTATTGACTGGAGGAGAACGCCCTGTCTTTCTCCAGAGGAGCGGCTGGTGGTGTCGAGCTGCTGACCTTAAGGTGAGCAGCCCAATGTGTAACCACTATGTCACCAGGATTCCTACCTACTACTAAAGGGATCATAAATGTCCTTTCCAGTCTTATAAAACACAGAGACACTCAGGGTGCCTCACTATAAAACCTGCCGCTGCCGGGTTAACTCTGACTCATGGTGACCCCATACGTACAGAGTGGGACTGAGCATGACAGGGTTTTCAAGACAGCCAGGTCTTTCTTCCAAGGTGCCTCTGGGTGGGTTCAAACTACGCTGGTTTGGTTAGTAGTCAAGTGCTTAACTGTTTGTACTACCCTAGGGACTAATTATTTAGTAAATATAGCAGAGGCCATTTATAACATTACCCCAAACAAGCTCACTGACACTGGGTCGATATCGACATTGGGTTGATAGAACGGGGTAGGACTGCCCCAGCGGGTTTCCAAGACTGACTCTTAGGAGAGGAGAAAGCCTCGTCTTTCTCCCCCAGAGCAACTGGTGGTTTCCAACTGCTGACCTTGAGGTTAGCAGCCCAATATGTAGCCACTATGTTTTCAGGCTCCCAGACATTACCAGTATATAAAGAGCTACGATTCTCAAGGAAAACAAACAAACAAACAAACAAAACCCACATAAGCAATAGTTTCATTTCATTGTTAGTAGACTTAAAAATATAACATTATAGAATTTCAGTGCTAGAGAGGACTTTGGACAAGTCACTGATATTTTATTATTGAACTACCTGAAAGCAACTTTTACAAAAGTGTTTTTTAAAAGAATGCTCATTTATGGCTTATTTTTCAGAAGCAACCCTAAGAAATGCTCCCGTTTGCGGGTCACAGGCTATGGAGTCATGGCTCATACCTAGTATTTCTGCTGCCTCCAGGTGCCGCTCAGGAAACATGGCGGCCGTGAAAGTGAACACTGCCGGAGAGGTGAGCACCACAGAAAGGCCATGAGGCTGAAGAGAAATAAAGCACAGAGACCATGGAGCAGAACTGCTCTTCCATTTGCCTGTTGGATTATATCCTCCTGGGCTCCAAGCCATCAGGAATTGACCTATTACTCAACAAACTCTCAGCCAACTCATAGAGAACCTAAGGGACAGGGTCGAACTGCCCTTGTGAACTGCTGAGACTAACTCTTTATGGGAGTAGAAAGCCTCATTTTTCTCCTGCAGAGTGGCTGGTGGTTTCAAACTGCTGACCTTGCAGTTAGCGTTAGCAGCCCAACTTGTAACCACTCTGCGGCCAGGGCTCCTGAAGATTACAAGAATCATCACATGCAATTCAAGAGTTGAATACTTTACCACCAGTGGATGATCCACATTGTAATCCTTTGCTTTATACGTCTTCACTAAACCTGAGATTGGATAGGACATTCCGTGGCTAGAAGAGAGAAATGCTGTATGTTGAGATACCCCCAAGACAACCAACCCCCCTGCCACCAAGTCAATGTCCACGCAGCCACCTCGTTCTCCTCCAAAGCGGCTGGTGGGTTTGAACTGTCAACTGGGATTCCTTTTGTGGATGTACAGATATCAGAATTAAAAATAACAATAAAAAGAGACTCTTAGGGGCAGCCCTTCATAGTTTCTTGATATTATTCTGACCTCTCCAAGTTAAGCATTCTGTTTTCTGTGAAAGAAAATAAATGATGATGCCCTTGACATTCACTGGATTCCTGGTTAATTCAGAAGCACTCATAGAATCGGAAGTCATCAAAATTAAAACGGTTGATCGAGAAGCAGTTCCCCAATCTTATTACCTACCTCTCAGAATCAAGACTAGCTTGCGGGTGTTCATTTTCTACTTTGTCTTTGGCAGCAAGCTCCCAGACACGCTGACAAGGCAGATGGAGTTTCCCAAGCCAAGATGTGCTGTGCTCCACACACACATCTGACCTGCCTGTGAGGGCTCCCTCCCACACGGACCCATTTTCCACGTGGTGCACTGATAAAACCCAAACCAAACCTGCTGCCGTCAAGGTGACTGTGACACATGAGGGCCACAGGCATTTCAAGGTAGGGCAGCACATCTGAGGGTTTTCTATGGCTGTGATCTTTACAGACAAAGATTGCCCGGCTTCTCTTCCAGGCTGCTGCTGGGTGGATTTCAACTGCTCACCTTTCAGTTAATAATCAATTGCAAACTGTGTGAAACATGTCAGGCCCCTAATAAACCCACACTCACAACCATTTGGAGACCCCATAGGACAGAGGGGAACTGCCCCTGTGGGTTTCCCAGACTGTAACTCTTTATGGGAGCAGAAAGCCTCCTCTTTCTCCCTGGACCTGGGTAAGAAATGATTAGTCTATGTAAGACACAGTAAGCCCATCAGTTCTAGTTTGCCCGAATTCTCTTTTAAATATTTATTTAAATTTCATTCTGGAAAAGGCACCATTTGTTTTTCACCCCCAAAATTCTTTATACCCTCTTGAATTCTTAGTGAGCAAGTAGGAAAATATTAGAGGACTCTGGATGATCCAGAGGAGCTTGAGTGGTGTAGTGTTTATCCATTTGGTGGCTAACTACAAGGTCAGTAGTTCGAAACCACTTGCCACTCTGTGGGACAAAGATGAGGCTTTCTACTTTCTGTGCATTGAACATAGAGGTTACTGTACAGATTTCCACTCTCAGAAACTCACAGAGGCAGGTCTACTCTGTCTCAGAGGGTCACTGTGAGTTGGAATCGACTTGATGGCAGTGAGTGGGATGACCCAGCAGATAAACACAGGGACACATGAATACATACACAATCCATAGCCGGAACATGAAATGCTTGCACTATGAAAAAGGCCCACGAACCATTTTACATGGGCTATTGGATGATTTTGTTCTTAATGCACCTAAGACTTACATGTTGGTTAAAGTCTTTTGGTGAACCACCATATGTGGCTATGTACCAACACAAGCATACGGTGCTGCCAGCCTGTCACCATTTGTGCAACAGACAGGATGCTGTCTATCCTGAGCCACTGGCTTGCTCGGTACTGTGCCTTGCTTGACTTCTCTCAGGATCCATGTATTCGGAAAATTAATGCCTATTGTGCTTTCAGACTGTGAAAGGGTTCCTGTAACTTTCAAAGGTTCCTTTCTAACAGCTAATCTTTTGGGGTGATTTTTCTTTAAGTTTGTGTGTGTGTGAAAACAGATATAATAAAAAGGTTTGCCATTTTAATTTTCTTATGAGTATAACTTTCTTAATGGCCCTCACCATGCATTCCTCCCATCACCACTATTCTTTTCCAAAGATACACGATTTCTTCTCCTTTTTAAAAATGAATCATTTTATTGGGAGCTCTTTCAGATATTATAGCAATCCCTAATTCAGTTAGGTTTCTTTTCCCTGTAGAGTGCGCTATGTTCTCCGTAAGGACTCTGGTTATTGTAGGGGCTGTGTGTTGGGCTCTGACCACGAGGTCCATCAGCTGCCCTGCGGGAGAGATGCAGCTCTCGGCTCCTGTGAGGATACACTGCCGTTCTATGGTGTCACTGTGACTTGGAATCAACTTGATGGCTGTGAATTTGGTTTTTGAACCGATTACAAGGATCTACATATAACCTCCCTGCTGGGGGACGGACAACAGAAAAGTGGGTGAAGGGAGATGTCGGACAGGGTAAGACATGACAAAATAATAGTAATTTATAAATTATCAAGGGTTCATGAGGGAGAGGATAGTGGGGAGTGAAACATGAGAAGCTGATCCCAAGGGCTTAAGTGGAGAGCAAATGTTTTGAGAATGATGAGGGCAACAAATGTACAAATGTGCTTGACACAATGGATGGATGTATGGATTGTGATAAGAGTTGTATGAGCCACCAATACAATGATTTTTTAAAATTATTAATTCTCAACTACTGACAAAGATTCTGATCCTTCTCTTTTATTGAGAACTTAAAAAGGAAAAAGCCCTGTATTGGGGGTTTTGAAAATCAATGGCACGTGGTGAGGATGTGGAGGAATTGGGCCAGATAACGATGCTGCCTCCACCTTGGAAAACTGCCTGGCAGTGGCTCAGAACACTAGACATAGTGCTCCTAAAGTCCACGCCTGGGTATAGATGCTCAAGAGAAAGAAAAATATGACTGCCTGAAAACTCCTGCACCCAAACCACCAATATTCATAGGAGCATTACTCATAATCGCTGAAAGGGTAGAAACCACCCAAATGTCTATCAACGTATGAAATGATAAGTAAAGTGTACACTAGAACATGATTCAGTAGTGAAGACGAATGAAGGCCTGATACTTGTCATGACACGGATAAATCTTAATAATGCCATGCTAAGCGGAAGCAGCTTCAAAAGGTCATTCCATTTATATGAAATGTCCAAGGTCAAGGAGCCCTGGTGGTGTAGTGATTGCATGTTGGGCTATGATCTGTGAGGTCAGCAGTTTGAAACCATCAGCAGCTGCATGGGAAAGACTGGGCTGTCTACTTCCATCAGTGTTACAGTCTTAGAAACCCACAGAGGCTTATACCCTGCCCTATAGGGTTGCCATGAGTCCGATTTGACTCGATAGCAATGAGCTTGGCTTTTGCTTTGGCTCAAGGTCAGGGAGTCCCTGGGTGGTACAAATGGTCCAGGAAGTTCCCATCTACCCCGAGGCCCTTGGAAAGAAGGAGCCAGTGATGTACTGGCACAAAGTCGGTCCTTGGAAACCCTATGGAACCCAGTTCTACTCTGATACACCTGGGGTCACTGAGCCAGAGTCAATGCCATGACAACTGGTACAGAGGCAGAAAGTGTATCAGTGGTTTCTTAGGACTGTGAGGGCGGAGGGACTGGTGGGTGACAGTTAAAGGCCACCGGATTTCCTTTGGAAATGATATAAAATAGTCTAACATTTATTTTGCTGTTAAGACATTTCTTTGTATTACAAACTACTGAGATGTATACTTTAAATGGATAGATTGTAGGATATATCGATTATATAATTCAATAAAGCAATTACAATTAAAAAAATCCGTGACTCAGTGAACTACATTTGAATGATCAAAACAGAGACAGAGTTTGGAGCTCTGGCGGTGCAGCGGTTCAGCGCTCGGCCAGTAACCCAAAGGTTGCTGGTTTGAACACACCAGTGGCTTTGCAGGAGAAAGATGTGGTAGTTTGCCTCCATGGAGGTTGCAGTCTTGGAAACCCTGGGAAGCAGGTCTCCTGTGTCCTCCAGCATGGCTGTGAGTCCCAACCGACAGGATAATAATGTCGGGATGGTAATGAACCCACGACCATGGCGTCAGTCCTAGGGGACAGACAAGAACTATAAAGCTTCATGGGAGTAGATTATCTCACCTTTCTCCCATGGTGCAGTGGGTGGTTTCAAACTGCTGACCTTGCGGTTTGCAGTCCCATGCATAACCTAGCACACCCCCAGGGCTTCTTGCTGGTGGTGATAGCATATTTAAAAGTGCTCACCCATCCTACATTACAAGCTCTTAAAAAAAAAGTTAAAGCAATTGCTGGCGGGAAGAAATGAAATTGTGAAGTAGCTCACCACAGATGAACACCAGCATTTCCAAAGCCAATGCCAGCAAAAGCACTTGCCAAGTGCATATTAGACCTGGCTTCAAGGTCATCGGGACTTCTGATGGCCCTGTGAATGATATAAGTAAGGAACAATAACACACTAACATCGGCATTTCCTACTAAGTAAAGAGCCACCTTAGGGGAATATCTGGGGCTTAGTGAGGGAGGGGGGCAATGCTACATGGTAGGAAGAAAAATTAGGCAATCATTCAAATGACATCCTGTCTTCTGAACAAAACCAAAGGCAAACATATTTTCCCATCAATGGTTTCAGCAAAGGCATAATAAATATGCTGTCAGTGGCTCAAGTGGTAGAACGGCACCAGGGGACCTCCGCACTGACCCTGGACCATAGAGCTGCTCCAGACAAGTGCCCCGGGAGACTCATTCTTCTTCTTCACTTGTCAGGGACCGTGACTGAAGCTGTGAATGGATTCAGAGTAAACATGCACTCAAGCACACGGCTGTGACTGGCGCACTGACCCGCACCCTGTCGCTGGGCCTACCTGCAGGCTGAATGCAGCCCTGGCTGCTCAGAGCGAGTCCTCCGGGGCTCGCTGGATATCTGTACAAAATGCTCCAGGGTTCTCGTGTTTATTATCGGGGAAGTGCGATTTTCTTGCAGGACTGACCTTTGCTTCCTCTGTCTATTGTCGGTGCCACTTCGAGCAAAGCCACTCTGAAAGGGCCCTTTCAGACTTAGCTCCCGAGACGTGGAACAACTGACCCGGGACAAGCCCTTCTTATGTGGCGCCCTGAGAGTGTGGGTGAAGAGCTCCCGATGTGCAATCAAAGTGCGACACCTAGTTTACATTTTTGAATGGTTAGGCATTTGCATCCTCTTTTCCAGAGCCCGAGGTGAGTTCCTTATTCCACTAGTAGGTAACAAGGTAACATTTCAGATTTCCGCGTGTCTGCTTCATTTCTTCATTTCCCACAACAGCCCTGCCCAGTCTGGCGTCTGTGGCAAACACACTGGTTGGCCATCATCTGTGCTTGCTCCCACCTAGTCAAATGCGGTGATGGCTCCGTGGTGGTCTTCACGCTTACCCTTGCTGGGCCCTTGGGGACTGCAGTTCCCAGTGGACCTCTTCGGGGGAGCCTTTGCTGTCAAGTCAAAGGAGGCCCTGAGCTCTCAGAGCCTGGGCCTACCCGCCCGTGTCCTGCCCCTCTTTGACGGGCAAATACAAAGAATGAGTCTGACTTGGCGCAAGTCTATCTCTGCTCTTTCGGGAGATGCTCACGGCTATGCTCTTAGTCATTGTTTCGAAACTTTTTGTGAAATTCCTTGGTACGTTTTGTCTTTGAAAACTCAAGGCACTATGAACTCTGTGCATTTATTCCTTAAACTGAGTTCATGTGACTTTGCTCAAAGGGCTGAGTCCCTGTTCTCTGGCAAGGGCTCCAAAGTGTGCAGCGAATAGCTGCCTCTGTGGTTCTGTCTCCCAGGGGTGGCGACACCTCAAAGGACATCCTGCCTCATACAAGCTTTGGGCTGCAGACTCAGATGGAGAGGCTTCCGTTGAGCCGACCTGCATCCTTCTTAGTAAAAGGGCTCTGACTTTGTCCCCTCACGCCTGCCTTTGCCCTTTCAGACAAGAGTCCCCAGGTCCCATCCCTTCTCATGGGACACCTGCACTAGCCCTCTTGTCCCTTCCAAGCAGCGCGTCTCTGGGTTCGCTGACTGAGCTTCTGGTGCATAGAACGGGCTGGCTCAGGAACGTGTCAGGGTCAGGCACACCCCGTTTTATAGGTTCAGGTTAGGATTGTACTTTTTCCCTTGCTCCGCTCCCCTGCTGGGTGACATACCTCTTCAGATACTTGGCAACGACGTGCAGCGCGCGCACTGCCCAGACGTCACTGATGGGGTTGCTGCCCTGGTACGCGGGCCGGGCGATGGGATTGGAGGGGCAGGGGCTCCTCTGGTGGTAGGGCAGGGCTGTGTAGGACTCCAGGGCATGGCTGACAAGAGACATTCAAAAGACAAGGATTGAAAGTGCGGTCTGCCTCCTGGCCGGGTGGTTCCCTGTGATGCTCCCAGCACATCTCCTGGGGCAGAGTCTTGCCCGCTGAGAGCCATGGCTGCCACAGAAAGGAACATGTGACACTTACAGGAACAGCACTGTAGTGCTTTTGACCACCTCTGGCCCTTTTCGAGTGTACTTACACCCAAATGGTGCTGCAGTTTTAGTCATTTGGAAGAAGCGGAAGAAAAAGAAAAAATAAGCAGAAAATATTAAATCTAAAAGGAAAAAAATAAGACTTCCTTAGAGAAGCTCTTATACCTTAAACACATAGCATGGCACCAAGGTGGGTCACTGTTGACTAGAACGCTGCTAACCCGTTTCGTTAAGAGCACAGGGCAGTGGGTGAGAACCAGAGCTGGTATCAACCACCCAGAGGCAAATCCTGACACGGGATCTTCTTACTGCTAATCTAAGAATGCTTAGTAAGTGCTCTGAGCCACAAAATACTGCCATCGACCAACTACTTAAAAAAAAAAAAATCCCTCCCCAGGCTGGGACCAGGACCTACCAAAGCACATCAAAGCCACTGTTAGCCACCACGCGGTCAGGCATGTGGAGGGTGTGCAGAGGGTCTATCAGTCCCAGGATAGGCTTGATGGCCCTCGAAGCAATGCCTGAAACACGGGGATTGACAATAGAGGCTCAAGGCATGAATGCCATTTCAAAAAATTGAGTGACTTCTGCAATTATCCTAACAAGTGAAAGGACAAGGTCAAGTTCACGCTCATGCAGGGGGACAGAAATAAGTAGGAGAGAGAGATGTGGAGCCAGAAACCTGGGCTTTTCAGCACATGGTGAAGCTGGTCTTAACAGTTTGAAGCGAACCAGCCGTATGCATCACTTCCCGAGTCTAGGTTAAGCAACATCATTGGCCAGGATGAGAGCATTTACACCAGAGGAGTTGGTGAGCAAAGCACAGCACAGCTTTTATTTTATTTTATTTTTCAGATATCAGAGAACTGGTTTACCAGCACCCCACAGTTTAGTTCTTGCTCTGTAACTTATTATGTGCCTTTGGGGAAGTGACTCAGCCCCTTTGAATGACCTCTTTTATTAAGACTGGATTAGAATAATTCAGAGCCGGGGTACGGATCAAATGAGGCAACAAAAGCATGCCTTTAAAAAACCGTAAGGTAGAATTTAAACACTGGCCACTGTTATTAATGCGATCTTTAACAAAGTCAAAGGTTCGTTGAATTTTAAAGAGAGAAATTATGCTAACTAGGCCGTTGAATGTCGATTTTTATTCTTCTACGGAAATCTGGAAGAAGCCCATTGGGGCAGCTAGACAGCGAGGGCACTGCTACCACCTTGGGGGGTTGTAAGTGAGGGCAGGCAGGGGCACAGGGGGCAGAGCCCTGAGCAGACAGACAGCAGAGCGACTCTCTGGGGGGTGAGGTAGGAAAGCGCACGAGGAACTGTCTGGGGTGATGAAACTTTATTGTGGTGGGGATTACTACAGACAGAACCGCAAAACAAACAAACTCCCTGCCACCGAGCCTATTCTGACTCATTGCGACCTCACCGGACAGCGTAGAGCCACCTCGGGTTCCGAGGCTGCAGCTCCTCGGGGAAGCAGAGAGCCTCGTCTTTCTCTCACCAAGTGGTCAGTGGGTTTAAACTGCTGACCCCGCGATTAGCACGGCCATGTGCAGCCCACACTGCTCCCAGGACCCTCCGGTCAGGATGACGCGCCTGTCTCTATTTGTCCATGGTCATCAACCTGGATTCTTAAACTGGGTTTATTGTATTGTATAGGTGTTATATCTTAATACATTTAGGATCTGAAAAAGATGACTAAAAGTGGGAACAAGGACTTTCACGAATACATAGTGACTGACGGGTGCAGAAGAAAAGGCCCATCAAGGTTTATGACATATATGATCTTGATAGCTAATTGCCAGAGGATGCTTGTTGGAACAGCTTCGATGTTTATATGGACTTGGGGAGAAAAAGAGAAAATGCATGCACCCCTACTTCCATAACGCCTTAACACTGAACCATTGGGAGCGCCCTGAGGAGCTGAGAGGTAGGCGAGAGGGATGCAAATCTAAACCGAGTGGCACCACCATGGCGACAGTTCTTACCCGTTTTGACTTTCAAGTGCTCATAGTCAAAAATGGCCACTCCCGTTGTTTCACTCCCGGTACCTGAAGTCGTCGGGACTTGAACAGAACAACGTTAATTGCAAGAAGACATAAATGAAACGTATTGGAGTTGCTAGTGCCGCGGAGATGAAGCCCTTGACCACCAGCCAAGCCGTTGGTGGGTGTCCCCCATCCCGACGCACCCGGGGAGCCGGGCCCATCTGGGATGCTCCAGTACTCAGAACTGACTTGCTGGCAACTACCAATCACAAACCCGGGTCAGTCGGGAGAGGTCAGGCTTAGGAAGAACAGGCCAAAGTTAACTCAGCCGGGACGTTCTGTGCGTCTGTGTCAGAGGAGAGGGCCCCCAGCAACGCGGGGGCAGCTGCAGCCGGGATTCAGAAGCTGGCGGCCCGAGGGAGAACCCCCCCCCTTGCCGTCTCTAAAAGACATCTTTATTCCCTCTTGGCAGCAAGCGAAGCCCCGCGCTGCCGGTGCTGGGCTGGCGGTTTTGTAGCTCTGTCCAGTTTCTGCCCTTCGCTAATCGCCCCTCTGTGTGGGGCTGACACAGTTTCACCAGAGGGCTCTCTTCTGCCAGACCCCAATTAGGCTGTTCCCCCGCTGACGTCTAATTCACATCCAAGCCGTTCATCTGCCATTGACTAATCTGTAGCCCCTCACAAGGCCCCCTCATGATGGGAGGGGGGCAGGGACGGGTAGTTTCATGATCAAAATAGCGTATCTTAGCTATAAAACTCTCAAGTGAGAAGAAGCGAGCAGCCAGAAAACAGAGCGAAGACAAGACAGGAGGAGCCCCCGGCCCCCCGTGGCCCGGACACGCTGTGCTGATCTGGATTTGCATGCTTGTGGGCCCAAGAGTCAGAGAGCAGATGTCGCCGGGCGCGGGTGTCTCTGCTGGCCACATGTCTCAGGGCGGAGACAAAGCCCGAGGTTGACAGAGGGGCAATCATCTGGAAGAAAGGGCCCAGTCCGCTCCAGAAAAAGAATAGCAAATGTTGCTCCTGAATGCCCCGGTGGAGGCAAAACAGGATGAGGCAGAGGGGGGTTTAGAGGGCTGTAACAAGATGCGGATGATGAGCGGCCCCTCCCCCCAAAGAGTGACTTCATTCCCTCAATCTGCAAAGTCCCCCGCCATTGACCCAAATAGTCCTTAGCTGTGTAATAAGGAAGACTGGGCTTTAAGAAAATTCAAAAGATTGACTTACTATCAGTTTTGGTCTCTGAACTAGCCTTTTGCCGAAAAAAAAAAAAAAATCAGAAAGCTTTGGGAATATAAGTGGAAACCACTGATTGTTGAGGTCGGTCGGCAGGGCAATGCCTCACAGTGCTCCTTTGTGGAAAGATACCCCTGAAATTATTAGCTTACACCTCTCCTCAAGCTTTTGTGCAGTTGTAAAGTAAAACTGAATACAGTAAACCCTCGCCACTTCGCGCTTCGACTTCCGCGGCTTCACTCTATCGTGGTTTTTGCGTAACAGCGCATGCTCTGTCATTACTGCCACTGATTGGCTCATACTGTACACGCTTGATGCCATAAATAATAATAAATAATACATGATAATTGTAACGTCCAAAATGTTTTACTGTATTTTCCCTTTTTCATTTAATAAATTGGGTAATACGAGTGTAATGGTGACTAAAGGGTGTTTTTTCATGTCCTCTATGCTCTAACTACGAAAATATTTGATTTACAAATGAGGAACCCTACTTCGCGGAATTTCATTTATCACGGTAGGGTCTAGAACCGATTAACCGCGATAAACGAGGGTTCACTGTAAAACCGAAAAACCATAAATCTTTACCTGCAATCAGAGGCTTAAGAGGCACAGACACGGGTTTTCCCTTCCCAATGGGGGCGTTGACGTAATCGAGGAACTCCGAGTGGGGGCTCGATGAATAGAGATTAGCAGCTTTACACGTGTCCATGGTGGAGCCGCCACCCACAGCCACGAAGGCATCGAATGCTCCCTTTTTGGCAAATTCAATAGCTTCCATGAAGCTTGGAGAAGGTGAACAATGATAAAAAGGTCTATGTTCAGAAGTAGATTGTCATACACCATCAAATACTGGGGCACATTATAAACCACAGTGACAATTTGTTTACACTCCAGTAGCAAACAACACAGGAATACCTGGCATCAGTCGGCTCCACCCTCACATCATCATAGACCTTAAAGTGTATCCCATTCTTGACTAGGGAATCCATTGCCACTTGGACCGGGCGGAGCTGGGAGAGGTTCTTATCGGTCATTAAGCAAACGTTTTTAGCACCCATGTTTTGAAGATCCTGTGGTAAAAGAATTCATTGGTGAGGGCTAAGAAACCCACCATTGTACATTTAAAAAAACAAAGATTCACTTGTGGTCAGTTAGCCCTTCTTATTTTCTTAATCTGTAGCATTTATAGCAGGAGGCTGTAGAAAGTTCAAATACTTGCCATGCCGACTTCCTTTGTAACTCCTGCTCCATATCTGATATTTGAAACAGCCATCTGAAAAATAAGATTTGGGTTTGGGGGTGCATTAGAGAGAGTTGGTCATTCCTTTTGAAAAACATAAAGCGATCCCCCATTGTCTAGAGAATGGAGTGTACACTCCTTACCGTGGTCTTCTAAGCCACCCTCCATGTGACCTTGCTCTCGCCACACTAACAAAAAGCCTCGGCTCTAGTCACATCGGAACGATTTACCTTTCTCAAGCACATAATCATATACTCTTAATTATTCCTTCAGCTTCACATGCCTGCTTCCTCCCACCTCCACACATAAGTTCCCTATCAAATTCCTCCCCATTTTCTATTTTCCATCTTAAGTGTTATCTCTTATATATTGTACTTTATCCACTCCTCCAACTACCTATTCATTCAAACACTGTGGTAGATATGTAATATCGTGTAGGGTGGAGTCTAGCCTGTCAATCAAATCCCAGCCTGATGGTACCTCCCGGTGGGTGTGGCCTTCTCATAAGGAGGAGCCTAGGAACTGCCTCTTTCTGCTTTCACCTTTCTGCTGGCCAGCACGCTGAGCTCACTGAACCCTGTGGTGCAGCCACTGCCACTGGATCCACAAGACTTTGCACCCACCGACCTGTGATCTTCCTGCATTCTGCATCGTTGCATGTGGCTGTGTGAGTCTGAAGAGGGACTTATGGACTAGTATCAGACTTAAGAACTAGTATCAAACTTGATGGACTTGATCTGGACTGGGCTGGGATATTTGCTTGATAATTACTTCTTGATATAAAGCTCACTCTTACATATATATGATTGTCTCTCGATTTGTTTCTCTAGTCAACCTGGCCTAACACAAACACCCATATCCATCCACCCTTACATCCATTCGCCTTCAAATCCCCCAATCTATTCTCCTACTCATTCAATGTTATCAAATATCTCCTATGTTCCAGGTGTTGTGTTGCTGAGTTTGGCTCTGGTGATATCACTACTATCAGGAGAGACACGACCTCCTAACATCTACAGCGGAGGGAAGAGTTTTTAAACTGATAAAGGGTATGTCACTTGATCAACTACATATATTGTTTGATTCACATTATGTTTCAATTTCTTTTTCTGAATTGGTTTAGGACTTATAAAACATAGGCTAAAAAAAGTGCCCAATGTGACTGGCTGACTTTCTATATCTCTTGACTAAGAGGGCACCAGTGGGCTTGCATTCCTATGGTGTCAGCAACGGACACTCAGCAATCACGGGAGGCGTCTTCGATCTGCGTTCTTTAGCTGCCAAGTGTGCCCTCCGTGACGTCAGCACAGTCCGCACCCAGCCTGCTCAGTCGGTCAGTCACTGGCAGGCTCCCGGTGACACTTCAATTGACAGTTCTTTTGCGAGGAGGAAGACGGAGACTTAAGCAAATAATTACAAACAATTCCTTAATTCCAGTGTGATGAAATTAATCGCCATAGATTATTCCTTTACTCTTGCTTCAAGAAAGTACTTTGGCCTCTGCTGCAATCGTCATAATTACTACATTTTCTAAAACTAAGAAAGCTAACACATAGCATAGGAGGGCAGGTCAAAAAGTACTGCTACGAAATATTTCCTAAACAAATCTATCAAAATGCGAAGGTATTGTTTCTTGACCTATCACCCATCTCGGTCTGTCCAGTTTTGCAGCACTGTTTGTATCTCCCTTATACTTCCCTGAAGAATCTGGTGCTCTTCGATTCACAGCCTGTCACAAGGACAGTTTTGCCACCCTTGAAGGACTCAAATCATGTGTTTTTTTCCAGTGTTGAGTTTGGGGAGCAAAACCAAGTCTAAAGGGGCAAGATTAGGGGTGTAGGGAGGGTGGGGTGTTCTGGTTGGGCAGCCCTTACTCCCCGTGGAGAATGGGCAGATGAACCGTCACGCCGAAGAACATTTTCTCAGCACAACTTTTCTAGCATTTTCCTCAACAAGGCCAGTTTTCTTAAAACGTCTTCATAATAAGCCCTGGTTTTTCCTGTCTTCTCTATCAAGGTTACCCCATTGGAATGCCCCCCAAAGTCACCGTCATATCCTGAGCTGAACTCTCTGTCCTGGATGGAACAGATCTAGCATTTTCCACTGGAAGCCACGATTTTTGATTGGACTTTTGTGTGGTTTAATGCACCCTAACCCGAATGAGGTAAGTGTTTTACTGAGAGACCTTGTTTACAGTCATTTGCTGATCACACAGACGCGCTAAAGCACAAGCTGTTTGGGACACACCCGTGTATGTACGGACTGGAAACCCCGTAGCAGTACTTTCTGACTGACTGTCATAGATAGTTTGTAGCGGTGGAGATTTATTATATCTTAAGGACAACACAGAAGAGAGTATTCTAGATGTTATTTATGTGACCAGAAGATTTATATTCTAGTAATTTGACCATGCATTTTGCCAAACAAAGGCTGATGGGTTAAATAATTAGACGATGGAGAGTCAAAAGCAAACTTAAAGTGAAATAATAATGCCTTAATGAAAAACTCAAGTTATGTCCTCCCAGGCCATTCATCAAAGAAAGGAAGGGTTGATTGAATATACCTCAAAGGCATAATCTGTTGTTTTCCCAGAAGCTGAAAGTCCAGGAGCTAGAAATACAAAAATTAGCATTAGAGTAGGCCTCAAAATTAAAACAAAAAATTGTTACTTGGCAGTAAATTGGTATTCCAGCAAAAAAAAAAAAAAAGGCATGTCTCTTAAAGTCTCACCTAAAACATATTTGTTTGTCAGGTTTCATTGCTGTACATTAGATTAAATGGAAGCCTGCGTGTTAAGGGCAAAACTGTGATGTTAACGTGATGAGGCCGAGTAAGTAAACATAAAGTTTAGGAAAACGATTTTCTTTATGAAAATTAAGGTATAGTTTTGAAAAGAATGTGAAAAACAGTCCTGCAGCGTCTACACAATTGGTTCAAGGTTGGCCTTCATTACTTAGATTCAATAGAAAGCAGTATGAAAATCAACGCCACAGCTAAAGATCCAAATTAAGCTATTGTTAGAGGTCATTTTAGTCCCAGATGAAGTATTTATATGCTCTGAAGAGAAAAACCAGAGCACCAGAGGTCAATTTAGTAATTTCACTAACTGGAGCCCTGTTTATACTTCGTGGAACAACTGTGGTCATTTGTTTGAATTTTTCTTCATTGAGATATTTTATCCAAGAAAAATGTTTATATTTTTTAAAGAACATACATAAAATTCTTAGTCATCTTTGTGATGACTAATCACAAAGATGTGATTTTTATTGTGATTTAATAAAAAAAAAACGTATCGACAATTTTTGTGTGTGCAAATTATCAAATTTTAATTATGGTAAAACCAATTTCTTGTCATACTGGGAAAAAAGAGGGACCCAATTGATGCATTTGTTCCTTGCTTTTAGCTACTTATTCACCATAGTTCTGTTCAGTCATAAACTAGGTAAAAATGTTCAAAACTATTTTCTCTACCATTTTTGAAATACAAAGAGACCATAACAAGAAAAGAGTCTAACTTTGGCTTCCTATTCGGTCCGTACAGGTTTCCAGGAAATGAATCTGTCATGTTACTGCTGTCCGGTAAGCATTAGATCTCTAGCCTGAGGGTGGGTGGTTCAAATCCATTAGCCTCTCCTCGGGAGGAAGATGAGGCTATCTGCTCAGGGGAAGACCTCTATAGGCTAGGAAATTCTATACAGGGTCATTATGAGTTGGAATCGATTTGATGACGGTTTTTTTTCTTTTCTTGCTTTAGATAACAGTGAGATTCTTTTTCTCAAAATTATTAATTTTATTCCTCCTAATGTGAAATTATTCTTTGTTAAAATCTGCTAGGAATTGGAGAAAATCAGCTGATTATAATGAGTCTGAGTATGACCATAGGGTATCTGCCTAGTAGGTAGTGATTACTGCCTCGGGGTCATGGTGTGTGTGTGGGGGGTGGGGGTCCCTTAGCTTGTGGATGAGTTATCTCATGGGCAGGGAAAAGCCCTCTAATAGCCACTCTTTCTCTTCTACACCAGCAGCCTTCTCTGTGGGCATCAGTTTCTCTACAGCCAGGCACCCTTGCACATTCCTCACCCCTCTGTTCCAAGTTGGTCTTTGCTTTCCAGAGCAGAAAATCCATTTTTGGGTCAGCAATTCATAGGATATTCTGAGGACAACGGTGGGCTTCCCTCCACTCTGTGGAGAGCGACGGTTGGAGAGGATTACGACGTTGGTGGAGAATGCACATTCTGATCTTGTTCTTTTAGTTTGGGTGGAAGTTTACAGAGCAAATGTGTTGTCTATTCAGCAGTTTAGACACATTCTGTTTCCTGACATTGGTTGAAATCCCCTCGCTCTCACAGTCCTCTTCCCGCTTCCTGGTTCCTCGTTCCTGCCTGTGAGCTTTGTCTCTGGGCACATGCTGCCTTTTGGTCTTGCTCATATGCTTCTGGAGCTATTGTGAACTTTATAGGAGGAGGATTCATTATTTGGCTAACAGTTGATCCGTGAAGGTGAGTTCAGTTCCAGGCTTAAAGGGTGCTTAAAACCCATGTACTCTTGGGGGCCTGCCAATCTGTATCAGACCAGTAAGCCTGCTGTGAATTTTGATCTACTTTTGTCCCCCCATCTTGCCACTCCCCCCACCCCCATCCATCCAGGGCTTTTTATTGAGGTCTTCATCAGCGCTCATGAACCACAGTCTCCACTACACTGAGACCAGAAGAACCAGATGGTCCCTGGCTACCTTTCCTGATGCTCTGATCCAGTGTTTCCATGGATCTTGGTGTTTCTTCATGTTTCCTTGTTCTGGAGGAGTGGGAGAACAAGAGTTGCCTCTCTGATGATCACTTACAAGCTTTTAAGACTCCAGTGGCTAAGTGGACTGTAGAACCTGTCTCTGTGGATTATTTTATGCCAATTAATCTCGGTGTCCCCCGAGACTGTGGCCTACCGTCTCCAAGTTCAGTGAGTGATGCCCTCGAGGTATGGTTATGGTGAAGACACTTTCAGGGGAAAGATAACAATTGGATTGTATGAGTCAGCTGTGAGTGATCGCTAACAGTGATTGTGACAGCTATCGCAGTAGCAGGAAGGGGGAGATCTTACAACTGGCTCTCGAGAGAAGAGTCAAAAGCAGAGGGTGATTTTTGGACCAGATCCTATTCCAGTATGTTATAACAAGCTAGTATGATTTTTATTTTGCTGCAAACAATTTGAAGTTCACACATAAATTTTCCTCACAGTACACATGAACTTTTTGAAGACCTCTCTTAAATACCCAGGGTGGACTCCAACAGACTGTCCTACGTCTGTCCAGCTTGTACGTCTTTCTATGTATCCTTTGTAAATGTTGCTATGACTACTCTAGAACTGTGCATGCAACACTATTTACCCTTGTTGTCTTTTGCTTTTGCGCATCTCCCAGTGTCTTCCTTTGACATTGGCCATGCTGTTTTCTCCTCTCCCTTACAGCCTTTCCCTCCACCCAAGTCAATAATCTAGTTAGTAATTTGCCCTCTCTTCTTCTCCTACCCCTGACAAAGAATGTTTCTTTCTATGTGTAAACCGATTCTTGGCTTTTTATGATAGTAGTTCCATACAACATTGTCACTTTTGCAATGAACTTTTTTCACTCAGCACGCCATCCTCCAGGTTCCTCCATGTCCTGATGTTTAATGGATTCTTCATTATTCTTTAACACTGCGTACTATCCCACTGTGTGTATGTGCCATAGTTTATCTTTTGATCCCGTGTAGGGAACTTAAGTTGTTCCATCATTTTGCTATAGTGACTAATGTGATTTACATGGGTGTGCATGCACTTTTTCATGTCATGGCTTCTATTCTCCAGGATATTGTGATGGTGTAAGGTTGTGTGTCAATTTGGCTAGGCAAGGATTCTTAGTGGTTTGGCAGTTATGATGTATGTAGTCCGTCCGTCATGATAAGATTTGCTATGATGTAATCACCTCTATGAGGTGCTCTGCGATGAGCAGCCAATCAATTGAAGGGAATTTTCTTGGAGAAGTGGCCTACTCCCAATATATGTAGCCATTCTGCCCAAATGCTCTTGCTTTTTAGTAGATCTGGGTCCTGCATTGTCTTGTCATCTAACCTATGGTTCTTTGGAGTTCAGTCAGCAGCCTGTCATATTGCCTGCTAACCTTGCATTTCGTTCCTCTCTACAACCAGCAGCCTGCCATCTGAGCTGGCAATCTCTGGTTCATCTGTCTGTGGCCATATGAGTCAGCAGAGCCTCCAGCTTGTCAGCTGACGGATGGACTTGGAACTTCCCAGATGCTACAACTGCAGGGGCCATTTCCTTGAGATAAATGTCAATTTCTCTCTTTCTATACACAATACACACACAAGCTTCACTGGTTTTGCTTCTATGGAAAACCTAGCCTAAGATAGATATGTATCTAGTAGTAGTATTTCTTATCATATGGTATTTACACATCCAACTTTTAAAGGAAGTACAACAACATTTCCCATAGCAGTTGTGTCTCATTTTAGTCTCAGCAGCAGTGTAAGATAGTTCCAATCTCCCCACACTTTCTCTGAACCCTCTCTAGCATTTGTTGTTATTGCTAGGGTTTTGTCATTATTTAAAATTAAGAAATGTAATGTTACATTAAAAATTGATACCAACAAGTTTTGTCCTTGTAGGAACCACCTTGTTTTCTACCCGCTTTCTTTCTTGACACTTAACAGGATCTTCCAAAGTCTTTATCTTGGTTAATTATGTTTGATGCCCTCAGAACATCTTAAAAATCTTTTCTGTGCCACCATTTTCAATTTTGACAGATAACTCTATTTGAGATGCAAAAGGCTATAAAACAGCACTAATATATAGTTCAGCCAAACACAACCAGCAGCATATAGTCAGTTTACCTTGTTTAGTGATACTGTCTACTTAAAATGACATATTACCAGTTTCACAGAGCAAAGGTGACCACGTTCATCAACATCCCCCTTACAAGCACTGATTTTCTCATTTTACACTTCACCTAAAAGTATTATGAATGCCCACTACAGAACCCACCCACACTGTGGCTAGTTAAATACAACATGCCTTACCTTGGGAGTAAGTATGAGAATGAGTCGGGCATTGGCATCTAAGGGAAAAAAAGTAAAAAGAAAGAAAAATGTAAAGTGAGACAAAGGAAATAAAAATCCAGAAAGACCTTACGTAGTACCAGTCC